GCATCATATGCCTTGTTTATCGTATCCCGCTTTCTTGTGGTAAAGAGTATATTGGACAGACGGGCCGTTGCCTTAATGATCGATTACGAGAACATAGTAATAATGTGAAAAACGGCCAGGGGAGTTGGTTGGCCATGCATTGTAAATCCTGCGGCTGCGCGCCGATATTCAGTGCATGCACAGTTATCAAGAGAGTGTTTGATAAGCTTACTAGAGAGATTATTGAGGCTGAGGCTATCGCTTCACTGGGGTCTAAGTGCGTCAGCACTCCCTCTCTTACGCTCAGTGATAAAGAATTGTATTTTCTAAGAAATTAATTTTTTGTGCGCATCATTCATGTCATGTGATGTTATTTTTTTGGTGATATAGGCGAGCGTGCGGTGGTAATAAACATTATGTTGGAAGTTAGCGCCTGTGCCGTGTGTCCTCTTCTTGTGTCCCCGTTTCTTAGCGCTATTTTCAGTCGTCACAATGCACCAACAAGCCCAAATTTCGACAGTGTTGAAGATAGAAAGAATTTGAAAGAAATTTATGTAGCGCGAGGCGAAAAAACGAACACAGGAAAGAATAGACTGAGAAGACAGAGCGCTACTATCAACAACATGTTTATTTTCGACCTCCAAGCCGCTTTTAAGCCATAATCGTCAGGTGAGCAAGCAGATAAGCACGTGTAATTCAGATACATGCACGAAAATGCCATCTACCTACAAGAAGAAACGATAAATAGGACAAAAAAAAACCTCACAGAAAAATCACGTATCACTGCGTACGCGGGAACGCCAGTTCCTTGGGTGACAAGGCAATTGAAGGCTTGCTAATACATACATCTACAAGAGGATCAATAAGTTTGGCTTCTATGATCAACCGAGTCATCTCATCCTTATGCCGACCAACAATGATTGTACTCTGGAACAAAGGCCGGCAGCCACACGCGTGAATGTGAAGAGCGAGAAAACCTTCTGGCGGCAGTTTTCCCACCTTGTAATTGTGTTCTCTCAATCGCTCATTCACACACCTACTGGTTTGGCCGACATAGTTTTTCCCACATGTGAACAGAATAAGCTAAATGACGAACGAAATGCACTCCACAAATTTGTGTGTACGCCTTTTTGTGCACAACACCCTTTCCCCACGTGACGGATTCGTCAGCACACACGATTTCCCAAGTTTATCACGTACTGAAAATAGCACCCTAATATTGTCCCGAAGTGCCACTTTCTTAAGGTTATGTGACAGCTGATGAACATATCGAATTATGGCCGTGCGTCTTGATTTTGCCGGTGAATAGACATGAACATTAGAATGGCTTGACCTTGCACGAATCCTTTTCAACTCTTTTTCCGCAACTGAAACTAAAACATGATCCGGATAGCCCGATCTTTGCAAACGTGTGATCTGATTATGGAAACTCTGCTTCATAAGGTGCGCACATGACTTGTTCAATGCGTTTTTGAGGCAAGTCGTCGCGATGGCTCTCTTGGTTAGTTTGGAATGACCGGAATGGAGTGGGAGTAAAGCTTTCTGAGCACGCGGTTCATAGCACCAGCATAGCTGGGTCAGAACACTGAACACTTAATTCTATAAAAACCTTATCCGTCCGTCGCTATAGGCCATTCTACTGTCACTTCAAGGGGCTTAAGACCATCACGAAACACATTCAACACACTAGTACTCTCACTTTGGAAATTTTCTCCCGAGCTGTCAACGAAAATAATAAAATCATCTACATATCGGAACACTTTCTTAGCCGTCATATCTGCGAGACGATATGCCACAATTCTATCAAGTTCTGCCAGAAACACATTACTCAAGACAGGCGCGATGCAAGAGCCGATACATATACCCTGCTTTTGCAAAAGAATATCATTGTTCCATTTAATGAACGTCGAAGTAAGATAAAATTCCAACAAGGTCAGAAAATTATCAGCGAATATACCTGACTCAGAAGAAAACTTAACAGCACCAAATTCATCAATGCTTCTTCCAACACATTTTAGCATTTGTGGATGGGGGAAGGAATAGTACAGGTTTGTCACGTCAATTCAGAAGGCTCTTAGCCCTTCATTTTCATGAGCTTCCATGAACCTTAAAATACTATCAGAACACTTGACTAAAAACGGATCTCGGACTCCGAGAAGATTGAGTTTGTCTAACAAAAAAGCAGCGAGTTCTTTCTGCCAATTTACTTTGTGAGTTCTTGCATTAAAAATACATTGAGGCTATTCTTCTTGCTTTTTTGAATACTTTTTAGAGTTCCAACTACGTTCATGTTTTTGCACAATTGGATAGCCTTTGCTTTTACTTGGTTCAACGATACGCCATCTTTTACATGGAACACCCTAGAAATAGCATCATTAGCTTTTTCCAAGAAGCGTGAACGCGAAAAAACTGCGAAGCCACCTTTCTTATCTCCCTGCAAAACACACAGCGAATTATTGTCCAGGTACGAAAAAACACACTTAACAGGAATGTGAGAACACACAGGTTTTATCGCTTTTTCTTGTAGGTAGATGACATTGTCGTGCATGTATCTGAATTACACGCGCTTATCTGCTTGCTCACCTGACGATTATGGCTTAAAAGCGGCTTGGAGGTCGAAAATAAACATGTTGTTGATAGTAGCGCTCTGTCTTTTCAGTCTATTCTTTCCTGTGTTCGTTTTTTCGCCTCGCGCTACATAAATTTCTTTCAAATGTTTCACCAACAAGCCCACATCGCCACTCTTGTGAAGATAGAAGGCTGCAGAGCTATAGAAAATGCCTGCAGCAGCCACGCACAACCTAGAGTTTCCCTAACAAACAGTGAGGATGGAACAAGGACTCGTTGTCACATTTCATTGTTAGAGAAGTTATCGCGTTGACAGTAGGTGTTCTTATTTAGACATCTCACATTGGCTTCTAAGTTCACGTTCTCTAATTCAGGTTTTTTTGGGAGAGAGCTCGAAATTTTTTGGAACCATCTACACACTGCATGCTTTAAAAGTTAAAATATTTATACTATCGTAGCGTACCCGTAGCTATAGGTGTCCAGAATGAAAGCGGACGCCACCAAACAACTATTGCGTCGGTCATATCAGTTTACTAACGCTGACATGAATAAAAAAAAGCTTTAAAAAGAAAGTGTCATAAAGTTTTCAGACGCGGGGGATAACAAGCTTACTGAAGCAATATAGTTCCTTCAATATAAAGTTATAATGTTAGTAAACCTTAACGCACAATACAATTATTTTAAATAATCACATCATATCCACGGAGTAAATGATAGTGATTGGGGCGAAGCGTCTGTCTGTCTGTCTGTCTGTCTGTCTGTCTGTCTGTCTGTCTGTCTGTCTGTCTGTCTGTCTGTCTGTCTGTCTGTCTCTCTCTCTGTCCGTCCGTCCGTCCGTCCGTCCGTCCGACATCGTCAACCATATATGAAAAGCACTAGCGCCGTGTAGCGATATTATTTCCAAGAACATATACACACAACGGCTTCTATTGCATGATATGGGAGACGCTACTGGGTACGCAGAAGGGACGAGGGATTGTCTAAGACCGTAAGGAGCTTCGCCCCCTAAAAAAGGTCAAGTTGCTGGCAAAATGTATTTCCTGTAGCTTCGCAATTCACAACGTTCTCTGTCCGCGTATCGGCATCCACAAAAAAGCCGCTCCTTTGGATCTTCTCGACGCTTTTATTTCGCCGTATTCAAGATTAATCTGTTCGCCCACACGCATCTTTCGGACAGCCCGCATGCGTCAACTTCTATGCTTGAAAAGAAGAGGGTTCAACGGCCTCTTTTGCTACTTGCCAAATGTAACTACGCGTGTAAAGAAATAAAGGAAGGGTTATTTTTATTAACAGTCTGGCTTATTCGTTTTCCAACACAATTAAGCGAACATAAAAGAAAGGTGTACCTAATTTTTTTGTGTGTTCCGCTTTTTCGCTCAAAGAATGGGATGCTACTGACGTAAATACGAATTATTTCCGCCCTCCCGAATGATGTGAGAGATTTTTTTGCACCGCCGTTAGCGAATGAAAGAATGCATCCGGTAGATAAAGAATAATAAAGCCAACCAACAACTTCATGTGACAAATGAAATTCGTATTTTTTTTTATGCTTTGGGCTTTTGAGAGCATCTTTGTGATACAGACGCACAATAAGCGTGCTTTTTGACTCACGTATTTTGTGTTCTTTCTCTTTAAAATTGTGAATATCTGAGAGAGTGCGAGTTTAGGGCAAGAAAGAAGCGTGTGGAATGCACGAGTTTTTTTTTTTTTTCATTCGATAAGGTTATTTTGCTTTAGAGCGAATGCGCATGCACGTTGACATTCGTGAATGCTTGCCGTCTATCCTATAGTCCACGCTATGTGAATATTTCAATAAGCAAGTAATGTGTGATAAAAAATAATAGTGGAGGAAAGCTACAGCGAGAGCGTTCGATCTCGGAATCTTCGAATTTCGCGCAACTGGAACTCAGCCTCTATGACTGTTTGTTTGTTTGTGTGCTCTGATTGCTTACTTACCTTTATTTGCTTGCTTCTTCGAAAATTGAGGAATATCGGAAACTTGTGTTATTACTCATTCAGTGAGCTACAAAACGAGATATTACGATAATATAAAGCGTATTCGCTATGACTTTTTTTTTTGGGGGGGGGGGAATCACTCGGCACATCACCTAGTATTCAACCTTAAACTGTGCTTCGAACGGAACGCCAGAGTTCAAGCAGACATGACGAACACAGTGCAAGTTTGAAGATGTGTCGTACCAACTAGCCCCACAACACACGATTCACGAGTACATTGCCCAGACATGCCAAGATCTTGTGAATACGGCATCCGAGCACTCGAGAAAGAACGTAAGTTTTCGAACGCGTGAAATTTTGTCTATGTACTTGTGCTACTTGTTAAAATCTACAAATGGGGGTGGGCGGAGGGGGGGCGAAGTGATTGAACTCCACCCTGGGTACGCCGGTGACTCACACTGACTTTCCCTCTCTCTCTCCTTTTCTGTGCTCCACAGCGTGGCTGGGCTCTGCGTCTCTAGCCTCTTCGCTGTTCGTGTCCCCAATGGTGGTGGCCTGGTGCCGGCGCAAGAGCATTCGCCTCACGGCCATTGTCGGAGGTCTAGTGGCGGCGCTGGGCTGCCTGTTCTCGTCGTTCGCGTCGCAGCTGCAACAAGGCCTGTTCAGCCAGGGCCTGGTGCTGGGCCTGGGCCTGGGCATGGCGCGGGACGCCGGGGGCCTGGTGCTCGGCCAGTACTTCAAGCGACGCCGCCACTGCGCTGAAGTGGTCGCCTGCGCTGGCGCAGGACTAGGGGCAGCGGTCATGGCGGCTTTCCTTCATTCGGCGCTCGGGCAAGAAACATTCCCCTTTCGAGTTCTCTATGGCGGAGCTGTTGAAGTCGAACTAGGTCCATGCGCGGTGATGTTCGCAGCACAGCCAAGTTTGAAGTGGGGGCAAGTGTAGGGCTAGAGGAATAGCAAACGTAAGCCTATATACAGTGTAGCAGGGGCGAGGCAAAGGGTTAGTGGGGAAAGCACGAGATAGGAAGCACGTGAAAGGAAATGGTGAGAGAAAGGGGAAAGTTGCATGTAAAGCACAGTAATGTAATGGTGTGTCAAGAGCAGGAATAGGTGAGACTAGGGAGAGGAGCAACCTTGCTCAGCTTTGTTCTCTCTTTGTAAACCGCGCTCTACTCGTCTAGCTTTGCGCACCTTTGCTGAGGCCTCCCTCAGGTCTGCTGGTCATTTGCGTTTGTGATAGCAAAGCGAATGGATCAACTTCGTATTTCTGGCTGACCCTTGCGTTTCTTCCCCTCTAGTGTGCAAGTTCATTGTTTTTGTGGAAATATTGCGCTCTGAACTTAAGAAGGCGCATGCATGTGGGCGTAATTAGTGTTGTCTAATGATCCCGCCGTGGTAGCCTAGCTCGTAAGTTGTTACGCTGCTAAGCCTGCGGGCGTGGGTTCGAGCCCCGGCCAGCCACAGCAGGCGCATTTTGGTAAGGGCCAACTGCTAAACCAATGTTCAGTGGTCAGAAAGCTTAACACAAACGCTCCGACATCATGTCCAGCAATTTGGGACATTGACTAGAGCGGCAAAGCCGATCCCAAGGGGAAGCGGTGGCCGTAACGCTATGGGGAGCGTTCTTCAAAAAGTGATTAGTGAGCAATGCCCGAGTTTTCGCTAATTGTACTTCAGACACTTAATGCTGACAACGCCCTTATGCTGTACAACGTGTTTAGTTTTAATTGGCCGGCTGGATTTTTCTCCTGAGACACTTTTGTGCATTCATTGAAAATGTATGTGGTGATTTCTGAAACGCTAATTGTAGCTCAACGATATGGTATTCACTAATTGCACTCTAGTGGCTTGTTTTTGTGTTTGCAATTTCGCGTGAATACGCTAGTTGAATTGTTTCCTGAAGAGCTTTCCCAAATCAATAGTGCAGAAAAGCAGCATTACAGAGATAAAAGAACCACCTGTCGGTAAATCGATGAGGAAGTGGACGTTGATCATGGTAAAACCTCAGCAGGAAGTATGCAGATGTGATGTACATTATGCTGTACAGCATGGATGTCGGTACACCGACGTGGTGTGAAAAACGGTGAACTAAAAGCGAATGTCCCGAATTGCCGGGTATGGAACAGATGCGAGCCTCGAAGCGCTGGGTGCTGTTGCCGAGATAATACCATTGGTAAGCTCGGATGATATGTCGGCATGCATGGGTAACATGGCCACAGAACCCAGAGCTGATCACATGTGCTAGCTAGGTGCACGAAAGAGCTTATAAAATTCGCTAAAGCAAGGATCTTAACAACAACAACAACAACAACAACAACAACAACAACAACAACAACAACAACAACAACAACAACAACAACAACAACAACAACAACAACAACAACAACAACAAAAGCGTTTGAACAGGAAGTTTACAAAGCAGTAACCGTTCTACCGTTTCTACATAAACTGTCACATGGTCTGAGGAATGTCGGTCACAGGTATGGGGTAAAATCAGTCTTCTCGGCCCCTTGAAGGCTTACTAGAATTTGTCCAATGGTTCCTATGAAAATGGAGCAAAGTGCCCAACAAAAAACAGACAGACAAAGAACTTTATTGGGTCCTGAGAAACGCTGCTCCTTTAGAGCAACGTCGCTGGGCGCTCCCACGTATAGAAAGGGGAGGTCTAGCCTCACCGCCGCATCGTGGGCTCTCTGAACAGCCCGTAGTTGTGGTAGCAACTATGAACTTCGTAAGGCAGAGTACGAGTCTTCTTCTGTGAGCCGACTTGGGCCCCGTAACGAGGGGAACTGCCAGAGCATATGTGCTAAGTCACTAACCTCACCACAATCAGGACAAGTGACTGTGGAATTAATCATGTTTCCACGTTTGCGCCCTGCAAGTGCGGTATCATTTAAGAGACCCCTCTCACACGTGGGCAGTCACGTGGGGCAGAGCGGCCTATTCGTTAATGAGTTCTTAAGACAGCACCGAAATCCGCTCAAGAATCCGAACGCTTCGCATCTGGCATCACACTGCAACACGTGTGGCTCTTCGCCTGTTTTCGGCCGATACAGAAATTGTGTCTAACATAGTTCCCACATAACTAGGGAAGTGATATAAGCAGCTTTTTTATATTAAACGATTGGATTATGCAAGCGTAAGCGATGCATCGATATACCTCAAGGATGAAGAGTTCGACTATTTTCTCAGCACATATGCCGTTAGGTGATACGCTATGTTACGTTTACTACTCAATTTCAACACTTCTGCGCAACGCCGATACGTTTTTTTTTGTTTTTTATTCCTTTCACGCTCACGTGTTCTTCAAATAAAACTTTTCAGTTGTGAGTCAGAGTTCGTCTGTGTCCTTTCCGCCGTCGTCGGTATCGCACTGTAGCACTGTACTCAGTATCGCACTCAGTAATCAGTATCCCACTCAGTGTACTCAGTAATCAGTATCGCACTGTGCCCGCGCTGTTATGCCGCCTTGCCCACTAGGCCAACCTTCAACGCTATCGAATGTTCATTTATCATGCTTTACGTACACTTATCATTAGTGCGACATTCACTGCTTTCTTGTAACCTACCGTGCAGTTTCAGGAACTTCGAAACCACATGATTCCACTCTACTCATTGATACACATTCGGAGCAGTTCCCTGGGCTGGCGCCACGGTCTTCAGGCAGCGACTGGCCTGCTGTCTCTCAACTTCGTGCTGGGTACCTTCTATCGGTCGGCGTCCCTGTACCATCCGCACCGGCGCGCCATCGTGCATTTGAAGAACCAGCGGCGCAAGATTAAGGAGAAGCAGCCGAGCGTGGTGAAGCCGCCTTTCTTCGACTTCACCGTGCTTCGTACCCGAACGGTCAGGGTCGTCATGGTGACCGCCGCCCTCACCGCGGCTGGACTTTATACGCCCTTCTTCTGTCTCGTACGTACGCACTGTTTTATCAGGCAGAGCAAAGCCGAAACTTGTAATCTGTGCGAACGCTTTTAGCAAACACTTTAGCGTGTACACTTTTAGCTTAAAGGGACACTAGCTTGAAGAGACGTAAATAACAATTGATGTCAGAGTGAAAGCTCAATGTATGACGATGTCTAAAACGTTAATGTTATCAACAGGAGTGCCCTACTTACCCAGAAATCAAGGTACATGCACTAGAACACATGTGCCATGCGTAGGACATTCACAATATGATCCCGATGACGTTATAGTTACCGCCTATAATTATTCAGTAGTAATCCAACTAGCTGTACTGAATAAGAAAACCTTCCCTGCATTGAGAGATGTAATAAAATGCTGTTTGTTCGTTTCTGTTTGATTTATGGAAAAAAAGAACCGCCGGACGTTACTATAGGGAACGGAGAGAGTGGTTCGAAAGTTCAATTTTCGCCTGCCTAAACTGGACAGGTCGTGCCATCTAGTGAGGCCCAGTTGAGCCTAGCGCACCTGCCATCTCGGAGGCCATGACATGAAATTGTTCAATGGCCGTTGTTGCGGCTGTGGCTCCCAATACTTTCACTGTGCAGCTAGCTATATGTTTCGGCAGCCGTGCAATAAAGCCGGGAAACGTTGTGCGTGGCAACACTGATGTGAGACGGTCCCTTTTAGGCGGGGGAATTGAAATGTGATAAGACGGCACGGACCACTGAAACATGATTTGATTTCGAAATAAGCACTTTCTTGGAACAAACGTAGCGCTACGAGGTTTCTGAACCGCTATTTCAGCAATCAACATTGACTTGATATTTGCCTTTACTGTCCCTTTAGAACAAGCCTATAAGGTGGAAAGTAGCTCAAAATTTCGAGGCTTATAAATGGTTCTATACACGGCCTGTTTTACACAATTTTTTCTTTGTGGCTTAAGCTTATGCGTCTCTTCCATATGTGACCGTTTCAGATGCAAGACCATCATGTTTCAAGAACTTTGTCCTATAGGCGGGAGTTATGTCTGATCCAACGCATAGCATGAATGTCGGTTCTTAGTGTGCTTGTATTATCAAAAAGCCAGTTGTGTGGATAGTAACTGGCAAACAGGTGGCGGCAATAAGACGTCGTAGTCATCCTGGTAACATGCCGTGTCAACAAAACAAGCTGGTCACTGGGTTGACTGTGATCGTGCGGCCACAGTGTGATGTGAATTGAAGTATCTTTGTCGAACCCGGGAAGTGGGTTGCCCTGGTCACAACTCGCCCGTGCTGCCTGACCTTGCAAGCTAGAAGAAAAGGCAGCAGATGACGGAGGGAATGGTCGTCTAAGGGCGGGTGGCTACAGTCCACTTCCTTATTGTTCTTCACGTCTTAGAACGTGCAAAGTTACAAAGTGAGACATTGATGACGCTGTACTTGGCTACTAGAGAGCTAGGGAAGCGACGGAAGATGTTTTGTTGTAATGTGCAGATGGCCGCCTAAGTGTTCACTCTCAGTATAGGTAAATCCCTCGATTTAACAAATAACAGGGGACAGGCTATAATATCCGATATGAAAGCTATTAAAAAGTGGGGTGGAGCGATAGCGGGAAACCGGATAGAAGTAAGAAATATAAATAGCATAACAACCAGATTTATTCTAAAACATACAATTTCCGGTACCAAACGTTTACCCTGTTTCAAATAACGGTATATGTTTAATTGAAATAGGCAATACATTATCCTAGAGTACAAAACGAAGCTTATTGGCACACAAGCTACTGCTACATTATAACAAGGACGCTTATCCAACCAATTGCCACTTCGCCTTATACATCGTCAAAATTTCTCTTTCTTTTATATTTCCTGTCATTCCAGGTTCCTCTAAGCTCCGCCGAGGGCGTCCAAGGAACATGGACGTTGCAAGCCCTCCTCGGTCTCGCCTCCGCTGGTGGCGCTGGCGTAGCTGGACTACTGCTGATGCGCCATCCGACACAGTGCGTACTCAGCCGGCGCTGCCTTTGCCAGCTGTCTCTACTTGGTGCCAGCCTGGCCATGCTGGCACTCGGAGCACTGAACGGCTTTGCCGGCTACGCGTTGTTTGCTGCCGTGTACGGAGCCAGTGCCGGCGGAGTGGCGTACGCGCTGCGCATGCTCGTCTTCGAGCGGCTGAGGGCCAGGCACTTTGGCCGCGCGTGGGGTTTCGTCCAATGGGCGCAGTGCCTGTCTGTGCTCGTAGGAGTTCCCGTTACAGGTGCGTTGCTATAGTTTAGCAATGCGATTGCCGTACTGTGAATGTGAGGAATCTGAGTTTGTGCGTGCTCTCCCTGGCTTTTAACACGAGATTGTTTTATACCGTGGACCACCACGGCTCCACAGACGTAATTCTGTAACGGAAGAGACGTCGGAAATAAATAATAAAAATCGCAACGAAAAAAAAAACCACCAAAAGACAAGCATCTATTGCGCTAAATCGAACCAGCAACCTCTCGATTCTCAGCCAGCGGCGCTCACCACTACGCCACAAAGCGCAAATGGTCTACAGTGTTAACGGTAAGCCATTTATATACACCATATACCGTTTGGCAGTCCTCAGAGCTTCGAAACGTTAGCTCGTTTTTGTTATTGGTGGCGAGATGGCGCGACAGAGCTCGCGTTGGGCGTGCTCTAGATGTCGTCGCCTCTACAAAGCTCCGCCTTCACACAGCTTGCTCTCCTGCGCACGCGCTTATCAAGCTCGTAATTGGGAAAACGACGAAGGTCACTTCGCACGCTTACACGGCCACGTTTACGAAAAGAGCGCACCGCTGACACGACACAGGAAGAACTGTGACAGTTCTTCACGCTTGTCCTGTGTATACTTGTGCTCTAGTTTCGTGCGTCTTTCTTTATGTTCGAACAACGCACTTTAAGTATCGAGCAGTGACAGTTGTTAGTCTGCGCTCCTCTTGTGCATGCTAATTTCGTGCATGCTTTCTGCTCGAGCTGTGCGCTGCAAGTTTAGAGCTGCTTGCCGTGTTCGTATAGCGTGACTTTGCAATTTGCTGCTATTGCTTGAACAATGCACAATGAAGGCTCAACTACTCTGTGAAGACACATTTCACAAAGGCTCAACTACCTTTGTAAAGACATGTATCACTTTCGTGTTATACCGATTCCTATATAGGGAAATCAGCCACGTTTGTTTCCTTTTTCTCTTTCCTTAAACCTTCCCCATCCCATTTTCCCAGTGCAGGGTAGCATACCAGTCGTCATAGAATGGTTAAGTCCTGCATTGCTCTCTCTCTGAGGTTGATTCCGAAAACAGTAAAATGTAAACGCACAGAATTTTTCGATGATTGCATCGCAACAAATAAACTTTAATTATTAAGGTTCAACTTCCCAAAGCAACTATACGATCATAAGACGCCGCACTGTAGGGCTCTGGAAATCTCGACCACTTGGGGTTCTTTAACGTTGACCTCAGTCGCGTGCACGGACCTCGAACATTTTCAACCTCGTCGTAAATGCGGCCTCCACGGCCGAGATTAGATTCCGTGACCTGCGGATCAGCAGTCGAGCACTATAGTCACTACACTTTTAATGAGGTGACGCATGAAGTGCTGGAATTATAGCCAGCATTTAACTAGAACCTGATAATGAATGAAGACTACCGTGGCGGATAACAAAGAAACTGTCACAGAAGTTCGATGCCTTTGTGTTAACTTTCGGATGCTCAGTGACCATACTACTTCATTTACATTCAACTCAAGAACCCGAAATTCGAGATTTTTGAATATTTGGCCCTGTTTGCGGATAAACATGTCTTCATTTTGTATTCACGGGTATGAACCCGCAAAGATACGATGTATTTATTGGGTGCCTTGGAAGAAACTCTCCATGGCTGTTCGCGCTGCTGGGAACATTAAGAAAATGATAATTGAAATGGATTACAATTCTCATTTCATCAAGTTCCTGGCAGCGTGAACAGTTATGAGGTCTTACCAGCTAGTCTCCGTAGCAACTTTACTTAGAAGAAAGCTCCAGATATTGGAGGACGACTGCAAGCTAATCGTCGAAAACTAATACTGTTTGTACTCATGCGGAGGCTTTCCTTTCCTGCTGAGAGGAAATCCGCTCAAATGTGCGTTGAAACTATCCCTTCTTTAGACTGGTAGTTCGAGAAACCTCATCAGCGAACAAATAGTCCTCAGTGGTGTTTGTTTGAGAATACTGGTCTGTAGACAATCCAGTCTATCAAATACCGCGCCTTTCCACATTACCCCTTCCTTTTTTTTTTAAATTTTCGCAGGTTACATCAACAAGTCGAGGCAGGATCCCAAGGCGGGCTTCTACTTCTCGGCAGCGTGTACATTTGCGGGGGCTACCAGTCTCTTCTTTCTTCCGGACGGCCGGAGAGAGTCTATCCGCTGCTGCGTCCACGCCCCTCACCAGCACAAGTTGCCTCCCCAGCTCCGCCACAATCACAACCACTCGCACGACAACCCTTGCGGCGAATGCCAGTGCCCCCAGCACCACCGACACACTGGCGACAGCCCGAACAAGGGAAGCTACGAGCGTGCCGACAGCACCGACGTCGACGCCGTGGTCATCAGGACGCCCTGCGCCTGTAGCCGCAAGTCCTTGTTGTCGTACCAGAGGAGCACGTCGTGGTCCACGTCTCTGGAGTACCTGGAGCAGCCGCGCGGTACAGGCGGCGGGTTTGCGCCGCCGGACGCAGACTGCTTGGACGACGAGCTGGCGGACATCGTGGAACAGCGACCGGAGCTCTTGGAGTGCATCGCCGACGAGAGTGTGGTGGTGGACGTTGGTGCTCGTTGCTGGAAGTGCGGTGGTATGGCGGCCGGCCCGCTGTGCGACTGCGCGCCCTCATCGACGCGAGACAAAGCCGTTGTGTCGCCCAAGAAGGCGCACGCGTCGCGGTGCACCCACGAAACGTTTGTGTTTCGTTCGACAATGGATCCCATTGAAGAAGTGACCAGCACCGTCTGATGTAATCACTCGAAGGGCGTGGCGTTAGTGACTTATTCACACGTGGAGCCAAACCGTGGCTCATTTTGTGTGGTGTGCTTAATCCTGTGCACTTTGCGCGGTGTTTATTGTGTGCTACGAAAGGCAACGCATTTTTATTCCAACTGTGTAAGTTGAATTCTGTAAAACACATATAAGGTGTTTTTTTTTGTGGTGTTGCGTTACAGCCCGGTTGATGATTTATTTTATGAAGCTTTGTTCACCTTTCAGCATGAATATGTGGTTCTTGCGCTAGCTTAAATGTGACGTGAAATGAACACAGCTAGCAAACCCGAATATTGGCCCCGTGCCCATGCGCACGCAATGTCAAGCAGTTTTCTTAATGCCACACCCCGCAGAGTTCTGACACCGGCCGTGTAGGTAGAGCAGAAAATGCACAGCACCGTATGCATTGCCTGCGTGTCCTGTGTGTCGCGTGTTGTGTCTATGTAAGCGTATCTGGCATCTTTTCCACTTAAAACGCATTTCTACGGCTCTGTTCGCTTAAGATGGAAGACGTCTATTTTTGGTAGCTACGCGCTAATTTTAAGCAATCCTACTCCCGAAGTGGTAGAACTGTAACACCCAACCGGCCTATATATGGTCGCACCTGAAAGCCCACCTGATGTGGCATGGCGTGTCGTTCACCGTTCAAGAGTGAATAACTACCGAGTATTCCTTGAGGTCCAAGTGTTCGGACCCCCGTGGTCTGTGTTGTGTACTTTCCTCACATCCAGGTATACGTTGTGAATGCACTTTATGCAGAATAGTTTGTGTCGCCATTTTGACAGCTTTTACGCGCACGCTACGGTTAACACCACTTGCATCTTTGACTGTGAGCCACGTACAAATATTTAAAAATTGTATATACGTTTTGATACCTGCTATTTTATTTCGCGCACCAGTTTTTCATATTCTACTATGAGATAGGTGGGTTATCGTATAGACGAAATATGGCAAGTTCGAGCAACACACAGAGGGACAAATGAACAAATGTACGTTTTCACCACCACAGCAATATGTTGAAAACGCATAACGCCGTGAAAAAGGGGGTATAAAGTTCAGCCGTCTTGCTCATATTACCGTAATTAAAGTGATTTATGTGAGTGCAGTCCTATTGGGCAGACAGAAAACACAAAAGAATACATGCTCACACTTGTATAAGCACTCACCAATGCTGCATGACAAGCACGCGCGTGCATTAGAAAGTGAACGTTAATACCGTAACGTCGCTTTCATGCGACATGTGCTTGTATCGAAAACTTGATACGGAAGTGTGCGGTACTGTTAACAACACGAGTGAAAGTGAACTCTATGTGATGTTTTTTTTTTATTGTGTGTGTGCTGTTTATTTGTGATGTAAATGTACGAAGGCCCACCGATATTTTTTTTCAATCAGGGACGCAAATGTAAGCACAAGCCGGATTTCGATGGGGCAAATTAGAAAGAAAATGGCGTTTTCTGCTCAAAAGTAACATCGTACTTGGAATAAAATGGATACCATGTATCATTAGATATGCCACCGCCTGTTTTCCTCTCGCACCTGCCTGATATCTCCAGGAAAGACGTGCTCAAGCTCGAAGCCAGAAAAAGGGTGCGTATTGCAGTTACTTTTAATAAAAAAAAATGTCAATGTGAAGGGGAGTCATCACACCTTCTTTGTCATGATCAGTGTTCGCCGTTACTGACCAATAAAAAGTTATTTGGTGTAGGAGGCGTTTCACGAGAATAGCCTATTGAGATACAGGTTGTACTGGTTGGTGTTAACACAGTGCGCACAATATGAGCACATTGGAAATGGATGAAACCATCATGAAGAAAGGTGAGACTTGCGAACACGTACAGAAGGAAAGAAAAAAAAAAAAGACTCGAATGACTGAGTTTTCTTGTGTTCTGTACGAAGGCTGACAATGACATTTGATGGCGTCTGACGTAATGCATGTTGACCATTCATACGGACTGCTTAAGCGGTGACTTTTCTTTGGCATCTGCTAGCGTATATTCTGCAACGCCATATCTGTAACAGATATACGTCAGCGGATTCGAGGTGGACTCGGGCACAAAATCATTTAATCATTTCCTGTTAAAAAAAGTCTGTGTAGCACAGTGCTTCTTACACTTGCTACGGATCGTCGTGGCCCAAGTTCGAAGCCCAATAACGCAAGGGAGACTTGCACTATTTGACACGCCTATTTGCTGGCGATGAACGTCTCACGTGGGCGGACGGGCGGATGGACAGACAGTGTTAGTTTTTGTCGATGAGTAGGAATGGGAATTCTAACACACATAATAGGCAGTCCACAATGAATAATCTTGCAGCCCTCTGTAGAACACATATTTTTAGACGACATCAACACCGCACTGCCTTTCTTTGCATCTAGCGTTTGTCAATGTTTCTCACGGCTCTGCGAAAACCTCACCCTACGATCATTGAAAGGCGTGTCTGGCGCTAACTTTTCACCCGTCACAATTTTCTTCACAATTGCAGTGCTTAGCGTCGGCTTTACATGTACTCGTGAAGTGTTTAAACCAAGTTGTCATACAATTGGTGTCGTTTTAATTATTTTGTTTTCTGTATAACGCATTCATATGGTTCAGATACATTCAACTTGGTCACACGTTGGTGCTTAGCAAAGTAGGTAAGGCACTAGCCTGCGGATGGAGAGGTGCTTGATTCAAGCCCCAACACCGTCAAGAAGGCTAGTTATATCTTTTTTCTTTTACAGCAATTTGTTTTACAAGGCAGAGAAACAAACGGACAGGCATACACGTGACCCTAACTACACAATAATCATTCAATATCTACAACCTAATTAACGTACACATTAATGAACACGGTTCCTACAATTAAGCAAGATCCTTTAACCTCGCAGCAACGAACGATCTGTGCGTTCTTCCGAGAAAAAGATTCCCCTGACGCGTTGGCTTCACCACAACAAACTCTTAAATCCAGCGAAAAAAAGTTGAGGCTCTTATCACCCATGATAAGGCTCAACTTTTGTCTGACGTAACACCTTGCAGTGCCGGAGCACCTGGGCGGTTCTCTGAGTTAACGACGTATTTTAACCATAATGAAGTATTTAAAAAAAGACGTCATACAATTGCTGCTCTGCAAGTGGGTACACTGTTAGTGTGCTTGTAGCAGTTGCACGAAGTGTGTTTAAGAAGGCTTTTAAAAGGGCCCTCTTCCAGCTTTCGCTGTCACTATGCTGCGCGTTGCGCGCAGGCCTGACGTTTTTTTTTTTCTCCACCTTTTTCTCTGGTATAATGCACTCTTAGGGTTCAGGTAAATTCGCCTGTGTGCAGCGTAGGTGTTTGAACAAGTAGGTAAGGCGTCGGCCTGCTGAGCGAGAGGTGATTTGTTCGAAACTCAACCTCTCCAAGAAGCGTAATTATTTTTCTTTATTTACAGTAATTTTTTCGTGACGTATATACGAACAGACAAACGCAGTTTTCTCTCTAAGCCAGCGTTGATGCTGACGCACCTTAAAAAGTGCTTGGTTACGGTTATATTTAGCATTGAAGGGAGGAGGAGGAGGAATAAATGAAGAAAGACAGGGAGGTTAGCCAGTTCTCAGACCGGCTGGCTACCCTGTACTGGGGAAGGGGGTAAGGGGGATAAAGAATGAGAGAAAAGATACGTTGTAAAAAAAAAGAGAGAGAAGGTCATCAGACGATCCACGACGCTGTTTAGAGTCTGTCTCTAAGACCTTAGCATTGAAACTACATATATAGTCTGCTGGCTGCTCATGCTATAAACCCCACAACATGAAGGTAGTCCCGGTTGCTCATACTATAAGGGCCAACTACGCAGCAAGACGACGAATCTTACTCCAGTGTACTCAGCGTAATTAGTGTATGTGAAAAGTCTCGCTAGATGCATAATTCAGCTAAGAAAAACACAATACGCAACTCTTATTATGCCCTAATCACTGCATGTATTTAAGGCATAGGCTAATTATGTTAAAGAACAGAGTTCCTTTAATCAAGCAAGTTAGTTTAACCTTACAGTGACAGGCCGTCCGTGCGTTTTTACAAGATGAAAATTCTCCTGGTCCGTTGGCTTCACCACAACAAACGTTGAAAACCAGCCAAAAAAGTTGGGGCCCTTATCACCCAAGATAAGGCTCAACTTTTGTGTGACGTCACACCTTGCAGCGCCGAGTGTCTGTGCGGTCTTCCGAGCAATATGTTCCCCTAACGCATTGGCTTCCCCGCAAGAAACTTTGTGGTGAAGCCAATGCACCAGAAAAATCTTTTGCTTGGAAGAACGCAGAAATGCTCCGTCGCTCGAGGTGTGACGTCAGTCAAAAGTTGAGCCTTATCGTGGGTGATAAGGGCCTGAACATTTTCGGCTGGTTTTGAACGTTCGTTGTGGTGAAGTCAACTAATCAGGAGAATATTGAGCTCAGAAGACCGCATAGATTCTCTGTGGTGCGTGGTGTGACGTCAGACAAAACTTGAGCTTTATCGTGGGTGATAAGGTACCAAACTTTTTCGCATGATTTTCGACGTTTGTTGTGATGAAGCTAACCCATCAGGACAACTTTTAGCTCGGATGACCGCACAGATGCTCGTAGCTGCAAGGTGTGACGTCAGACAAAAGTTGAGCCTTATCGTGGGTGATAAGGCATCAACTTTTGCGGCTCGTTTTCGACGTTTGTTGCGGGGAAGCAATACATCAGGGGAATATTTAGCTCGGAATATTACGCATATTCTCTTGGATGCGAGGTGTGACGTCATACAAAAGTTGAGCCTTATCATGGGTGATAAGGACGCAACATTTTCGGGTGGTTTTTGACGTTTGTTTGGGTGAAGCCAACGTACCAGGGAAATTTTGCGCTTGTAAAAACACACGTTGGCCTGTCACTGCAAGAAAAAAACTAACTTGCTTGGTTTAACGAACTCTGCGCGTCAATGCATACGTCAATCGTGTTGATGGCTTTCAGTGATTAGCGTATAATAAGAGTCGCGTATTGTGTTTTTTCCTAGCTGGAAGAAACAGCTAGCCAGACTTTTCACATACATTGATTAGGCTGAGTACACTGGAGTAAGATTCCTCGTTTTGCTGCGCAGTGGACCCTTATACCATGAACCACCAGCACTGACTTCATGTTGTGTTTAGAGCGTGAGCAACCAGCATACATGTGCCAAGTCTCGCTAGGTGTATTGTCCAGCTAGAAAAAAACATAGTACATGATTCTTATGATACCCTGTTCACTTTATGTCTCTAACGCATACGCCAATTGTGCTGAAGAGCAGAGTTCCTTTAATCTAGCAAGTTAGTTTAACCTTGCAGTGACAGACTGTCCGTGTGTTTTTAAAAACTAAAGGTTCCCTGGTGCGTTGGCTTCACCATAACAAACGTCGAAAACCCCACGAAAACGTTGAGACCCTTATCACCTATGATAAGGCTCAACTTTTGTCTGACGTCACACTTTGGAGCGCCGAGCTTCTGGGTGGTCTTCCGAGCAACATATTTCCCTGATGCGTTGGCTTCCCCGCAAGAACTGCTGTGATGAAGCCAATGCATCGGGGGTATCTTTAGCTTGAGAGAACGTACATACAAATGCTCCGTTGCTGAAAGGTGTGACGTCAGACAAAAGTTTAGCCTTATCATGGGTGATAAGGGCCCCAACTTTTTTGGGTGGTTTTCGACGTCTGTCGGGGGGAAGCCGACGTCTGTCGGGGAGAATCTTTACCTCGTAAACACACACGGACGGTCTGTCACCTCCTCAATCGCTTGATTAAAGAAACTGTGCTCCTTAAGGCATATGTTAAGCGTGTTGAAGGCATTCAGTGATTAGCGTATAATAAGAATCGGTACTGTGTTTTTTCCAAGCTGGACCAGACACCTAGTGAGACTATTCACATAAATTGATTACGCTGAGTACACAGGAGTAAGATTCTTCATTTTCCTGTGTGGTTGACCCTTATACCATGAACAACCAGGACTAACTTTATGAAGTGCTGTTTATAGCGTGAGCAACCTGCATGCATCTGCCAATTCTCGCTAGGTGTGTGACGCAGCTAGAAAAAAAATACATAATACGTGACTTTTATTGTACCCTAATCACTTGATATTTTAACGCGTACGTTAATTATGCTGAAGAGCATAGTTCCTTTAATCAAGCGAGTTAGTTTAACCTTTCAGTGACAGACCGTCCATGTGTTTTTACAAGCTAAAGATTCAACTGGTGCGTTGGCTTCACCTCAAAAAACGTCGAAAACCATGCGAACAACTTGAGGCCGTTATCACATATGATAAGGCTGAACTTTTTCGGCTGGTTTTCGACGTTTGTTGTGGAGAAGCCAACACGTAGGGGGAATATTTAGTTAAGAATACTGCGCAGATTCTGTGAGCTGCGTGGTGTGACGTCAAAGAAAAAGATGAGCCTTATCATCGGTGATAAGGGCCTTAATTTTTTCGCGTGGTTTTCGGTGTTTGTTGTGGTGAAGCCAACACTATAGGGCAATCATC